TATATTAATGCATTATTCATTTTATTTATTGTACAGCAGCCTGAGAAACGTGATGCAAAAGGAAAGCTGTTTATTGGAACAAAATTTGGTTGACGTTTCTTAATTTAGTTTTGTTTATTATATACATACAAAATAACATAGCTGTAATTATTCAATTATTCATTATTAACCCTTAGGGTGCCAACTTCGTCAGTTGTTGATTCACAGGGTAATGCGTTTATCATCATGTGAAGGTTTAAACAATTATAGTCTGGGTTTTACATATATGATGCAAATATAGATATAATAGCTCTCTGTGGATGTAAATAAAGGACAAAAAAAGTGATAAAACAATCATTAAAACATTGGAGGATTAAAGAGGAAGCATGAGCAAAGTCGAGCACCAGGCGTTGACAAGTGCCAGATGCAGCTTTGCAGAGCGCCTCCACCCAGTGTAATGATAAATATTTATTTATTTTTGTGTTTTTATTTCACTTAGCATACAAATTAATAATTTTATAAATTATTTTCTTGAATTTATATTTTTTGTGCATAGGTGATACTATGACTTTCTCCGTAGGTGCTGTCTAAGGGTTGAAAAGTGATAGACGAGTGTATTTAGTTAGAAACAGGAATTATGAGAGGTGTGTGTGTGGTTGAATGTTTAATTTGATGTTAGCCTTTTATCTTCTTGTGATGCATAGTGCCTGCTGAGGGGAGCAGTCTCATTGCTGCATCTCTCACTCAGTCTTAACACATACCTCAAGCACCAATAGCATTGAGGTACTCTTTGTGGTACTCGAGTCCATCTTTAGTACTGGTTTGAATTCTTATGCCGTGTGTGTGTGTGTGTGCGTGTGTGTGCGTGTGTGTGTGTGTGAGTGTGAAAGCCTACTTGTAATGCATTTTAGATGTGACTTAGTTGTTGTCATGATGTTAGCTTGCTACACACAATGGAGGTGGTGTGTATATGGGGGGGGGGGGGAAGGGGCAAGAATGTCATGACACTGTCAAGTGACAGATGTGAGCATGTGGGAGTGTGGCTAGTTGTTAATCCATGCATGTTGCACTTTGAGAGTTGTGGATGTAATTCCCAATGTAGGTTTGGAGGGTATACAGAGTTAGGGCTACTTGAACAACTGCAAAATGATAAAAGGACTGGCTTGCAAGCAACACCTTTTTGCTGTATTTAATCTTTTCCATATTTTCTTTTCTCCCAGTGCTTCTAGTCAAAAGCTTCCTGTCAACCTCATTTATAGTTACATTAAGCTTGTCTGCATTGCTTATTGTCGCTGCCCTATAATCACCAGCTTAAATGCTCTTGTGAATCTTATCCATTACTTTTTTATCTTGCTCTTCAACCTGACAAACACACTACATACTACTGTAAATCTCTTGCCACTTTCTCTTCACTCCTTAAACTTGAGAGGGAAACTATATCCCATAACTGCTTAGTTTACCATCTGGTAGTTCAAAGTCTACAAAAGATGTGTATGTACAGTCATGTTAGTTTTCCTAATACTGTCTTTAATACTTAATACTCTTTCTTCTCTCCCATATGCCATTTGCGTCTATGCTCGACGCACTAAGCCTTTTAAAACTTTGTGAATTCAAATTAATGCAGGTTTTATTGGATATATTGTCTATTGAAAAGATGCCCACTTTATTAATTATATTATACATTGGAGATTAATTATATTATTATTATTAATTATATTATACACATACATTAAGTACTATACATGATCCATTAATGTAAGGATTTATTTTCTGTGGCATTAGGAGGAACTAATTTATCAAAATTGGAAGAATTCAACAATTAATTTTGCATCAATTTTCTAAATTTCATGTTATTTTTGTACTAATATTTGGTGTAATATAGAGTGCTGCCATAAACTAATATTGGGTAAATAAGGAAACACTTGGCACTCGCCTCATTAAGCTATAATTTACTGCTCTTTATGAATAAACTATAAAAAAATTTTTTAGCAAGAATAAATTGTTATATTTTTAATTAAAATTACTTGTGTACTGTATATGCAATATTTTAAATTAGTCATATAAAATGAGCTATTTATACATAATTATTATTTGTGTACTGTAATTTGATGTTATCTTATGTAAAGATTGTTGTATGATAGTTGTGAATGGAACGCTTCTTGTGCCCATGATATTATTGCCACTTGGGGGGGGGGGGTGTAAGTACCTGAGCATAGTTACAGGACGAGAGCTACGCTCGTGGTGCCTCGTCTTCCCAGTACTCTTTGTCGTATAATGCCTTAAAACTACTGACCGTTTTGACCTCCACCTCCGTCTCACTTTGCTTGTTCCAACTGTTTTCCACTCTGTTTGCAAAGAAAACTTTCAATTTTTTTTTTTTTTTTTTGAACCTTTGTTTCCTTAGCTTGAATCTGTGTCCTAATTGCACACATACTCACCTAGTTGTGCTTGCAAGGGTTGAGCTTCAGCTCTTTGTTCCCACCTCTTGACTGTCAACCAACCGGTGTACAGATTTCCGAGCCTATTAGGCTCTATCATATCTACGTTTGAAACTAGTTATGGAGTCTTCCTCCACCACTTCACTGACTAGTGCATTCCATTTGTTAACTACTGACACTAAAAAAGTTCTTTTTAATATCTCCATGGCTCATGTGGGTACTCAGTTTCCACCCGTGTCCCCTTGTGTGTGTGCCCCCTGTGTTAAATAAAATGTCTTTATCTACTCCTATCAATTCCTCTGAGAATCTTGTATGTGGTGATCATGTCTCCCCTAGCTCTTCTTTCTTCCAGCAACGTGAGGTTTAGTTCTCAGTCTCTCCTCATGGCTTATACTCCTCAGCTCAGGTACTAGTCTGGTGGCATACCCCTGAACCTTTTTCAATTTAGTCTTGTTTGACGAGATACAGTCTCATGCTGGCGCTTTATACTCCAGGATTGGTCTCCAGGATTGTATATGTGGTATACAAGGTTCTGAATAATTCCTTACACAAGTTTCTAAAGGTGGTTCTTATGATGGCCAACCTGGTATTGCTGCTGCTGATATCCTCTTAATGTTGGTCTCAGAGGACAGGTCTGGCATGATATCAAACCCCCCCCCCCCCCCCCAGGACTTTCTCACTTTCTCAGCGAGTTGATTACATCATGTTTTGTGGGAAATTCAAAGTTTTCTCGAATATGAACGGTATTTGATCATTCCTCAGAAAGCGACCCACAACAGTCGACTAACAACCAAGTTCCTAATTACTGCTAGGTGAACAGAGGCAACGGGTGCAAGGAGACGCGCCTAGCTGTCTCGCTCTGCCCAGGATTCGATCCTAGGACTTGCCTGTTGTGAGCAGACAGTGCTGACCACTGAGCCACAGTGTGTGTGTGTGTAATTACCTAAGTGTAGTTACAGGATGAGAGTTACACTCATAGTGTCTTATCTTCCCAATACTCTTTGTCTTATAACACTTTGAAACTACTGATGGTTTTGGCCTCTGCCACCTTTTCACTTAGCTTGTTCCAACTGTCTACCACTCTGTTTGCAAAAGAAAAAATTAAAATAAATAATTTAACAATGTAATTTCAATTTATTCAACATATTATTTCGTCATTGAACACGAAGCCAGGTCCGATTATAATGATAATCTTTGGATATAAGTCTGGCCCCTGAACTCACTAGGGCCATCGGAGCCTCGAACAGGGGCCACAAATGCGTGAGCCCATCACTCTACCACCCAGACTATGGATGCGTGTATGTGTGTTGTAATTGTAATTGTCAATGTTACAAAGATGTGCTCATGTCATAGTAATAAAGGCTGTGTGTGACATTTGGTGAGTTTGAATCTGGAAGAGAGTAGTACCAAAAGAACCACTTTTGGGCACTTTTAAGCTAACTCTGTTTCCATTTTCTTCGGTGGCAGAATTTAGAGGAACGTTGAATAAAGTGATCCATACAGTCTCATTATTTTGTCCTGGGCCTGTCGGTAACAACAACGATAGCGGTAAATTATTTTTTTATTTATATTTTTGTCAAAAAGGCTCTTCAAGCATTTGTCACTTAACCTTATTGTGTCTGGTTTGATATATGACATTAAAGTTTGAGTGACATGCAGTGTTAATGATTAACTCAAAAGTTTGTAGGATGCACCAGGCATATTTTCTTAAACTTGGCAGAATAAGTGCAAATATATAGTATTTCAATATATGCCTGATACACCTTCCATCTCTGTAGTTACACAAAAATTTAAACTTTTTAGTTTTACAGCTAAATTGTGACCATGTCCTGTGTACAGGAGTGTGACATATTTATCTTTTTTATGTATGTTGTGGTAACAGTTTTTGTAAATGATATTGTATTTACCATACTCTGTTTTATAAGAGGTTGCTCAGGCATGTATGAAAGGTATAGAGAGAGAGTATTTTGAGTCATTACCAAGTCTTGCTACTTAATAATGTATTGATCAATAGGCTTTTTAGAAGAACTTGTAATATCACAGTTTGTTTCTATGTACGAGTCAGCAGAAAATAAAAATGATTAAAATTCCATGGATTTCATACCTTAATGGAGAGAGTGAGTTAGTGCATGGTGTTTTTGTGTTCATTTGTATTCAGTATGATGATGTATCTGTAGTTTGAAGTTTGTTTTATTTATTGTTATGTAATTTTGTTTGTTTATGTGCAACTTTTAACCCTTAGACTGCTGAATTAAATTATAATTTGAAATAATAAATTAAATGAGTGTCTTTACAAATGTGCTTCTTGTGGGATTATTATAGTTACAGACATCTCTTCTTGTTGATTTCAACAGTTGATAAGAAAAACTCAATATTACTCTGCTACTTTAGAAGCATCGTTATCAAAGTATATCTTACTACCGAGAACTAATTGCAGAAGTTACTAGCAGCCGAAGAGTTAAAAAATGTTTAGAGTTTGTTTGCATGTTTATAGTACACATTTTTTATTTCTTAGTGTTAATTAAGTGACCTGATTTTGCATGGCTTTGGTTTTACAAGCATGGATGTTTGTTTTTATTCTAGATCCGCAGTACCTTAAACGAAAAATGGCTAAACTTGGCAACAGTGCAAACACAGAGAAGATTGGTAGATTCATCGCAGAAAACATGGGAGGTGCAGGTAAGAAACTTATTATTTTGTTGCTACAATTTTTTTTTTTAGCTTGCATTTTTAATAGTGTTTAACAATTAGTGTCACTTTGGTAATCCAGAACAACAGGTTCCGATTCCGTATAACTGAAAATCCAGATAATCGAGTAAAATGAAACGAGACATAATTTTTTTGAGTTTATTTTTTATAAATGAATGCCCTTCACCGCTGAGTCATGCAAATACTGTAGGGGGGGGGGAGAGATAATTGAACTTGGCCATGTTTGGTTAATTGGGGCGAAGAAAAGAAAACTTTTGTTAATGCTGAAAAATGTGTATCCAGCTATAAAGGAGCTCCACTGTAGCATTCATTATTCTAGGGACACAGCAACACTTCTCTTTAAATTTGGATTATTTTATTTAGTTAACCCTTAGACTGTAAGGTGTGTTATAATAAATGTTGTTGTAAGTCAACCGTGCAAGGGTTGTATTATTAAATGTTATCACGCAAGAGATAGCATATATGAAGCCAGGTTATGAAGTAGTAGTATGTTACCTTCACTAAATGGTTCTCAAGATCATACCAGCTATTAAATTACTTTTTTATTATTTAACAATAATGGAAACTCACAAAACTATAATGAGTAGTAAGAATTACAAAAAAAAAAAAATGCTATTTCTTTTGTAAACACTATTAGGTTCAGTGGAGGTTTGATAGAAAGGAGGCATTCCATTTATTTCCCAAAATGCATAGATGTTCAAGAGGACCATAAACTTTGTTTCCCATTGATCACCTTTGTCATTAGATATACTCCTTAGTGAATTAGATCTTTTAAAATATCCAAACTACTAAAGTCTTCTTGCTCTCATGTTGGCATCTTAAATATGGTAATACAGTGTATACAAGTACAGTACCTGGCTTTTCCCTCTAACTTGACTGGTGGTGTAGTAGCCAAACTGGCTTGTCACCCTCTGATAATTTGTCTGGCTTGATGATTGCTGTAGATAGTAACACCAAAACACACAACAAGTAAGTTTATATTGTTTAATTATGCTTTGTGTTGGTAGTAGCATGAATATTTCTTTTGTTAAAGTTGTTAAATTGAAACTTTCTGATGTTTGATCTTTTACTGTGTTATCAGAGTAGAACAACTTTAAACCTGTCAAAGGTTAAAGAGGCTGCTAAAATTTAAATTGCTCTGATTTTATTTACTAGTTCTAAATAGAAAATTATCACCCGAGGACCACGTAACTTAGTGCGAGGAGCCCATGCCACACTTTCCATTTTCAGAATTGCTTTTAAATACATGGATTGTGAAATACTAAAGAAATTGTTCACGACCTTTGTTAGACCAAAGCTGGAATATGCAGCGGTTGTGTGGTGCCCATATCTTAAGAAGCACATCAACAACCTGGAAAAGGTGCAAAGACATGCAACTAAATGGTTCCCAGAACTGAAAGACAAGGAGAGGTTAGAGGCATTAAATATGCCAAAACAAGAAGATAGACGAAAAAAAGGTGATATGATCAGCACTTAAAAACAAAATAATAACAAGAATCGATTAAATTGACAGAATAGAATTCCTGAAACTAGCAACGTCATAAACAAGAGGACACAGATTCAAGCTAAGGAAATTAAGGTGCCGAAATAATACTAGAAGGATATCTTCAGTAAGCAGAGTGGCAGACAGTTGAAACACGTTAAATGAGAAGGTGGTGGAGGCCAAAACTTCCACTTCTACCTTCAGCATGACATCTCATTCATGCATTCTTGTATTTTGCATTTTGACTCAACATGCATACATACACTCCTCTTTACGTATGACACTCCTCATTTCCCTAAATCAAGCATTTATTGTAAAGTTTTATCCCAGGTAATTGAATTATTGTGTCATTAATTCATTATAAGCCAGATGTAAATTTGTGCAGTTTGGCCCAATTCTCTAGTGACTCATGAGTCTACAAGACAAGGGCAGTCAGGATACAGACATGAGAAGACAACATTTCAAACCCTTTTGGGTTGAATTTGCTAATATGGCGCAGTGATTGTTTTCTTTGATGCAGTATTGTTTCAAAGCAATCCCAGGCATTTATTCTTTGTTATAAATTTTTTTGCCTTCTGATACTCAAGAATGTTATTTATACAGTTATGTTATGTGTTATATTTATTTATAATTCTGTTCTTTTTGGTTTTTTGATATTCTATAATAAGTGTTATAAATATTTATTGAGGAGGGGGGGGGGGGAAGCAAAATGGCAGTTTGTATATCTGATGCTTTTACATCTCTTGGAAACTTGCCAACTTTAAAAGGCTAGCCACAGATAGGATCTTCTCCAGACATTTAAATTTTCAACACATGTTAACACTCCCAAAGGAACATCTGAAACCTTTGTCGAAGAATTCTACAAGCTTCTCTGGCAACGATAAAAGTGAAGTAAATTTGCCTCTTGCCGATACCAATTTTAAAGAATGTGCAAAAGGAATTGGGAATGTTCTTAGCAGCATGGAGAGTTGTGCTTGTTTTGTTGATCTTTAGGAAGGGGGATAGATCATTCACATTGAACTATCAGCCAATTAGCTTAACCCTTAAACTGCGCAAAACCTCACATGATGTATGACATTGAACTCGGTTTTTACAATTTTCTGAAACTCTTTCAAATGTTTTGTGAATAATCTACTAGGAAAATGCTCCAATGTTGTCTAAGTGATACCAGTGTAACTTGAAAAACAAGAAAATTAAAAATAATTATAAAATTGAATATTGAAAACTCCAGATTTTGAAATCAGCTGCAAAAATATAAAAATATCATCAACTGTTCATTTGGTGTTATTATGCTCTCAGAATAGCATATGATCTTCATTTTCATATATTTAGAATATTAGTTTTCAGTATAGTTTACTGTAAAAAAAAAAAATTATCAATATGGCATTTGAAGTACTGTATGCACAATTTTAGACAACAAAAATGTATAACTCCAAACGTTTAGAGTTTATGAAAAATCAATTCTATAGGGATTGTAGAACAGACAGCTGTGCACACTACTGTATATGTAAAAAATGGTGAGAATCGGTCAGAAACTAGATTTTTGGATACTGAAGTAAATTGAAATTGTAGTTATAGATATACAGTAATTGAAGCTGAAGTTATCAACAATGAATAAGGTGGTTCTAATTCATGAATTTACTTGTATGTTGTAATAAACATGGTTTGGCATTCATACTCAAGTATGTAAAATTTGTAGGTCAATGTATGTAGGAATGAAGTCAAGGAAAAATAACCCCTCCAAAATATCAAAATATAGGCATAATTATAATGATTTAGTGAATATATTTAGGGTATACTCTATACTGTATAAGTAAAAAAAGCCTTAATCTCATCCCTAATCATCAAAACAACCTAAAGAGACCAGGAAAATAGTTTGATATCTGTGAAAAAATCAGCCAAAGAAAATTCCAAGTCCCAAGTTCTGAGAGTTGTAACTGATTTATTTGTTGACCAATTTAATTCTGACTTCACATAGTTAGAGACGAGTATGCATTCTCCAGGATGTAAAGGTTAAAACAAATTCAAATAATAAACAAAGGAAGAAAAAACTAAAAGCCTAAAATAAAAAATTCCCCTAAAAAATATTTTTTGGACATTGTTGAAAGTAACTGATAACATTGGGCAATGTATTTATATGATATTTAACAAAGTAGAACATAATAACTCATTATTATTTGTGTTATTATGTATTACTCAGCAATGCTATAAAGGCACCAGCTGTATATCCACTTTGTGGACACTTCTACTATTATTCTTCTTCTTTGTGCGTCGGACAGGTGCTCGCATCTCTTTATTACTGCATAATCATTCACTTCCACTTAATAGGAGCTGTTCTCTTTATCAACAAAACTTTTTTTTTTAAATATTCGTCTAAAATCAATTTCTGAAAATATTTTGATGAAAGTTTCACGATGCTGAAGCCAATAAGTTTGAGATTTGTTTAACATTTTTACGTAATTTTTATATAATATGAATATTTTTTAATTATGCCCCCTTCAATGTCACAGATTATACGACGTTTTGCGCAGTTTGAGGGTTAATGTCTCTTGTGAGAAAATTGCTTGAATTGGCAATTACAACAGCCAGTCATATATAGTACATTCATACGTTCATTTAAAAGCATAAATTATAAAGAATTTACAAGAAGGCTTTACTGAAAGTCACTCATGTTTGTCAAATTTGGGGTGGTGTCCTATGTTTGACAAGGGCATAGTTATTTCAAAGGAAGCAGTTTGTACAAGTGGAATTGAGTCAGTGTGATAACCATTGTAAGTGGAGTGCCCCAGGGTTTGATCTTTGAACCTTTGTTGTTTACTGTACAGTATATATAAACAATTTTGATATTGGACAAAACAGCAATATTTGCAGATTTTCAGAAATACAAAAATAGTGGAAAATAATTTCAGAAGACTTAAAATTGCTTCAAGGTGGTATAGATAGGCTCTCAAAATAAACAAAAGATTGGTAAATATAGTTTAACCACTGTGCTGCGCCAACCGAGAAAACTCGGTCGGTGGAAAACTGTGCCAACCGAGAAAATACTTTTTGAATATTTTGTACCCATTCAAAACGCATACGCGGTAGGTTGTATACGAAATGGACTCTTAGGAACTCTAGTGAGAGGCAGCCATCTTGGAAAAAATCCCAGAATACCCTAGGGCAGCTGGCTGGGTTAGTACTGAGTGAGCAACCATCAATAGCACACGTGCCTCTGGCTCCCAAACACCTGCCCAACGCTGTGTTGAAAGATCGCTCTCTGTTGGTGAAATTCGGACCTTATTGTTTGAAGACCATAAGGGTCATGATATTGATCAAGCTAGGCACAATAAGGACCTAACACGAAGGTCGAATGCAAGTGATGTAGCTAAGATGAGGAAGATACAGCGAGCATATCCAGTTGTAGCTCTGAGAGCCACCCTTGCCATCTCCAATTTTTGTAGATGATACATAAATGAATCATTTTCTGGGTTCAGTGATGATGCAT